AAGCAAAGAAATAATACATTTTTTATTAATAATTAAAGATTACTTTCTCGGGTTTCTATTTAGCTTGTTTCTAAAGTTTATTATTTTTCATTTTTAAGAAAACAATTGTGCTTCATATCATTTATTTTAGTCTACATATATTATAATCACACAAAAAGTTTCATGTTCTTTCTTCTTATATTTTTTAAATAGAATTAAATTTATTTTTTAAAAGAACCGTATCAAGTGAAACAACTAAAAAATATGGAATTTAAAAAGTAAGGAGTAATAAAGATATTGATAATGATAATAATAGTAGTAGTAGTAGTAATAATAATAATAATAATAATAATAATAATAATAATAATAACAACAACAATAATAATAATAATAATAATTCTTATTTGGATCTGATCTGGTCTGATCTGATCTGATTGGATCTGATCTGATCTGATTAGATCTGATCTGATTGGATCTGATCTGATTAGATCTGATCTGATTAGATCTGATCTGATCTGATCTGATTGGATCTGATCTGATCTGATTGGTTCTGATCTGATCTGATCTGATTGGTTCTGATCTGATCTGATTAGATCTAATTTGATCTGATCTGATCTGATCTGATTTTAATAAGATTAAGAAAAAAGCAGAAAAAATAAGTTCAACGGAACGGGACCTAAGTCTGTCATTGGGTCGGGTTCGGCCTGTCTCTAGCCTCTATACTCATATCCTAGAATTGATCCTGACTCGTACTTATTTACCGAACCGGCAGGTTCGATCGGGAACCTGATATAACATATAATCTAACAGATCACACAATAATAACTAGGTTTGTCAATGGGTTGGGTTCGGTCAATTTATAGTGTACTATACGCGTATTCTTTTAAATAGATTGATCCTGACTCGTACTCATTTATCCGATGAGTTTTGAATTTTAGTCCTAGATTTGGATCCATTGAGTCTCGGTATCAGCTCAGATATACTCTTGATAGAAGTTGACATCTTTTATTTTTGTATAATTGAAAAAAAATTATGAAAATACTATGAATGAAAAATATCTTAATTGAATAAAAACAAAAATAAGACTTATACGTTACTACAACAAAAATCAACTTTCTTTACCAAAAATCTGTAATAAAAATCTTTACATAACGCTAACGCTAATTACTAACGGAATTCACAAACAGGTCCATTGTATAGTATATTTAGCTTCAAAACCTCAAGTTATTTATTAAAGTGGAATTAAAAATAAAATAAAAAAATTAATGTGGAGGGTATCATAGGAAACTCACTAGTTGAGGAGGCAGCCAAGAATAAGGGAAGAATATGAGTGAAGGTGACAAGAAAAGGGCATAAAAGGAAATGAACAAAGCCAGGACTAGCAATGGCAAGAGATATGGAAGAAATCGAAGTTTTATGAAGAAGATGGATGAAGAAGGAGATAACTCCATCATTTGCTTTTGTTTTTTGCATTTCTTTTTTCCCTATGTTTTACTCCGTATATTATATGGTTTGCTCTCAATTCAAGTTCTATGTACCCTTTGAAATATGGAAACAAAAGATTGTGCTAATTGAACATGTGTATATGAATTAAATCGATACATTGGAAACTTAGGCAATTGATGGAATTGAAGAGTTAGATACATACGATTATCCTCGTCCCTATTTTGATGACAACTTTATTTTATCTCTTCTCTCGATAACTTTTGTTTATTAGTGTTTTTCATTGATTATTTAATAAAATAAAGTACTTTTGTCACCTTTTGTTTTATAAAACTTTGGACGTAGTTTTTTAATATATAATTTTTATTTCTAATTAATTACTAATTTGTAAATGAAATGATTTCAAAAATTGTGGGATTTTTACATCGTAATTCCTGTTTTGTAATCAAAATAGGTCACTTCGCTTCAACGTCATGCTTCTAAAGCGCACACTCAGACATTTTGGGGCACCTACGGTGCTCCGTTGATTAATGATTCCTACACCTCTAACCCCTCTCCTAATTAAGCTCCCACCCCAGTCCCCTACCCCACTCCCTCCCATGGCAGTGTTGGGAAATATCCCTCCTACATGGAGGAAGTGTCCAATTTTAATTGGACGAATACTTTACATCTATCTTTTATATTTTGGCTTATTTTTTGTGTGTAAAGCTTGAGCCCAAATGTTTTATGGTGGCCCATATACTAAATAAATGAAAAAAAAAGAGTGAAAGAGATAAGGTAGCACAAAAGCAAAAAGAAGTGGAGAGGAAAAAGGGGCAGTAGCTAACGCAGGAGAAGAGGAAGAAAAATCAGGTTTCTGCCACTGTGCAGCAGCCACTTTTCTCGTCCGGATCGAAGGCCAAACGAAGTCCGATCGTACTCAAATTTTAGTATATTGTTCCTCACATACTCCTCTTCAAATCCAACGGTCAGTTTCTCGTTTTGATGCCCGGAAGGTGGTTTTCTTGCTGCGTTTTCAGACCTGCGTTTTTGGGAGTTTTTACTCCATTTTATGGTGAATTGTTGATTGTTGTTTGTTCCAAGGTTGCTCCTTGATGATTGTGTATGCCTCTAGTGTTTACTAGAGAGGAGAACTTGTTGTACCCACTTGATTCTTGGTGATTAGTGGAAGTTTGGG